ATGATGATGATGATGATGATGATGATAATGATGATGATGATAATGATGATAATAATAATAATGATGTAAATGATGATGATAATGATGACAAGGATGATAATAATGATAATGATAAACATGATGATGATGATAATGATGATAATGATGATGATGATAATGATGATGACGACGACAAAGACAACAAACACAACGACGACAACAATGACGATGACGTCGATCATGACAATCATGATGAAAATAATTATAATGATAATAAATATTATGGAAATGATAATGATAATGATAATAATGATAATGATAATGACAATAATGATGATGATAATGACGATGAAAACAATAATGACGATGATAATGATGATTATGATGATGATGATGATGATGATGATGATGATGATAATAAAAATGATGACGACGACGACAACGACGACGACAATGACGATAACGACAATTATGAGGATCATGATGATAATGGTGATAATGATGATAATGATAATGATGATGATGATGATAATGATGACAATTATAGTGATGATAATCATGATAATGATAATAATAATGGTGTAGTTAATAATTGTAATGACAATGATGACAATAATAGAGATATTACGACAATGATTAAAATAATGATGATAATGATTATGATATGAAAAATAGTAAAGATAATGATAATGATAATAATAATAATGGTAAGGTTGACGATAACCATAATAATAATATTTAGAATAATAATAGGGTTAATAATAATGATAATAATAACAATGATAATGACAGTAACGATATAATGACGATGCTGATGATGATCATATTGATAACGATGATGTTGATGATGATAATGATAATAATAATAATGTTAATAATAATAATGAAAATTATGATAATGAGAATGATTATAATAATAATGACGATGTCGATAATTATAATGATTATTATGATAATGTTAATGTTAATAATAACAAAGATGATGATGATAATGATAATGAGGATGATGATAATAATTACAATAAGATAACAATGACGATAATGATAATAACAAAGATGATGATGATAATGATAATGAGGATGATAATAATAATTACAATAATGATGATAATGATAATCAGAATAATAATAAAAATAATAATGATGATGATAATGATGATGATAATAATGATGATGATGATGATGATAATAATGATGATGATGACGATTACGATTATAAAGATGATAATTGTAATAATGATGATGATAATGATGATGATGATAATGATGATAATGATGTTATTAATAATTGGTAATAATCATAATGATGATGACGGTAACAATACAATGACGGTGCTGATAATGATTATAATAATAATGACGAGCGATAATAATAATAATGACCACATGTATGTCAGTTATTTAAATACTATTTGTAGTAATAATTAAGATGATCGTTAACTTACTGAAATTGATATTTTAATTATAATGATGTTAAGTTTAATGGTTATAGTAATTATGAGGAGATTAACGATAAAATTGTGGCCTAGTAATAATAAAGATAGTAATGATAATAATAATGACAGTAAAAAGAATAGTGATGTTCATGAAGATTATGATAATAATAATGATAATGATAATAAAAGTGACAATGTCAATAAAGATGTAGATAATGATAATAACGATGCTAACTATGACAATGGTGACAGTGATAGGAAGCTGACGATCATGATGGTAGCAGTAATGATGATGATGATGATGGTGATATTGATGATGATAATGATGATGACAATAAGGATAATGTTAATGTTTAAGATGATGATGATAAAAAAGGTTATAATGATAATGATAATGATAATAGTAAAGATAATTATAGTGATAACGATAACTATAATGACGAAAATGTTATTAATGATATAAATAATAATGATAATGATAATGACGTTAAGGATAATTAGAACGTCCAGGATATTGATGCAGTAAATTAAAATAACAATAATTTAATGGTAATGATAATAATAATCACAACGTCAATAATGATTAAGTTGATAATGACTATAATTGTGGTTATGTTCAGGCTGCCGGGGATAGAGACACGATAATTATAATCGTGGCAATAATTATGATAATGGTCATAATAATGACGATAGAAGTGATAGTAATGATAATGCTGATTATATAGATAATGTCTATAATAATGATAATGATGATGAAGATAATGATGATGGTAATAATAAAGATGATAATTATGATAATGATAGTAACAATATTATAAGTCGTGATGTTGAAGATGATAATAATGATAAAGATAATTACGATAATTATAATAACAATGTTCATAATGATAATAATTAAAATAATGATGATAATTATGGTGGGGGCGATGTCGATAGGGACTTAATAATAATAAACGTAGCAGTAATAATGATGGTTATAACAATGATGATGACGACAATGATGATGATTATGACAATAATTATGATGATAGAAATACATCTGAAGGTGTTATTGACAATGATTTTGATATATGTCAGTGATTTTAATACTAATGGTAGTTATCATTAAGATGATCATAAGACTTACAGCAATTGTTATTTTCATGGTAATAATAATAAGTGTGATAAGGATAGTTATTATAAGAAGGTCAATGGTGATAAGGGCGCGACGATAATATTTGTGGCTATAGTAAAAATAATGATAATGATGAGAATGTTAATGACGTTAGTAAGAATTATGTCGTTTATGACAATAATAATAATGATAATTATGATAACTAATAATAAACATAACATTGTCAATAAAGATAAAAATTAGAATGATAATAAAGGTAAATTGACAAGGCTGACAGTCATGGTAACGCGACAATGATGATCGTGTGAATATTGATGATGATAATAGTAATAACGATGATGATGGCAATGATGATAAAGATAATTATGATAATGATAATAACAAAGATAATGATGAGAAAAATAACTATGTCAATAGTGATGACAATAATAATCGTTATAATAGTAGTTATGACCACAGTGCCGGTAATAAAACACGATGATCATAATTGTGGCATAACAATGATGATGATAATGATAATAATAATAATGATGATGATGACGGTGATAGTAATAACAATAATGATGCTGATTAGAGTAATAATGTCGATAATGATGATCTTGATGATGTTGATTGTGATAATGTTGAGTATGATGATGGAGATAATGATGATGATAATGACAATGATGATGATTTTAATCGCAATAATAATGACGATAACAATCATAATGACGGTGATAATGATTATCATGATGGTGACGATGATAATAATGATAATGGTAATGATGTTGAGGATAATAATGATGATAATCAACGTGATCATGATGATAATAATCATGATCACAATAACAATAATAGAAGTGAACATGATGATGCTGATGATGATGGTTATAAAGATAATAATGATGAAAATGATTAATATAATGTTAATGATAATAATAATAAAAATACTGATAGTCATGATAATTATGATAATAATGTCGATATTATTAATCATCATGACGATAATAATTATGATGATAGAGATATGTCTGATCATAATAATTATCGTGATAATAATGTCATTAATAGTATTAACGATAATAATAATAATGTTAACGAAAATAATAATGATTATGATAATGATGTAATAATGATAACTATAATTATAATGACGATAACAATAATGATGACAATGATAATGATGATAATGATAATGACGATAACGATGATAATGATGATGTTGGTAATGATAATAGAGATGTCGATAATAATAATGGTAAGAATAGTAATGAAANAGTAATGTTGATGTCGATAATGATAATGATAATTATAATAAATAATAGAAGTGATAATCATGATAATGATAATAATAATGGTGTAGTTAATAATTGTAATGACAATGATGACAATAATAGAGATATTACGACAATGATTAAAATAATGATGATAATGATTATAATATGAAAAAAGTAAAGATAATGATAATGATAATAATAATAATGTTAAGGTTGACGATAACCATGATAATAATATTAAGAATAATAAAAGAGTTAATAATAATAATAATAATAACAATGATAATGACAGTAACGATATAATGACGATGCTGATGATGATCATATTGATAACGATGATGTTGATGATGATAATGATAATGATAATAATGTTAATAATAATAATGAAAATTATGATAATGAGAATGATGATGTTGATGATAAAAATGATGATAATATTGTTACGGTGATAATGATATTAAAGTTAATGTTATTGGAAAAAACGATAAGGATAATGACAATATCGATTATGATAATAGTGATGATGATAATGATGATAGTGATAATAATAATAATGATAATAATGATAATAAGGATAATGACAATAACTGCAGTATTAAAAATGATGATAACGGTAATAATAATGATGATACTAATGTTGTTGATAATGATAATAATAATAATAATGTTAATGTTCGTAAAAATGAATCTAATGATCCTAATAATATAAAGAAAAAGGATAATGATTACAATAGTGAAATTAACGATGATGATGACGATCATAATGATGATTATAATGATAATATTAATCAAATTAATAACAATAATTAATATAATGTTGACGATGTGTATTATAATAATTGTAATGATGTTGATGATGATATTGATAATGATTATAATAATGCTGATGATGAGGATAATAATAATAATTAAAATAATGTTAATATTAGAAATAATCATAATAAAAATGACGATAACTATGAATATAAAAATGATAATGATAAACATGATGATGACATTTTCGACGATAATAATAGTGATAATAACGGTGACAATAATAAGAAATATATTGGA